CCCCTCTCTCACACACACACACACACACACTCTCTCTCTCTATTCTTAAGCCTTTCCCTAACCAACCCCACCCGTCCACAGACCTACCAGAACTGCATCACGCGGCAGACGGCCTCCTCCGTCGTCCTCAACGCCAACCAGTACGGCGCCCTGGTCAGCTGGGCCTTCAACGTCGGCTGCACCGCCACCAGCACGTCGACCCTGATCCGCCGCCTCAATGCCGGTGAGGCCCCCAACACGGTTGCCGCCCAGGAGCTGCCTCGCTGGAACATGGCGGGCGGCCAGGTCCTGCCCGGCCTGACGCGCCGCCGCGCCGCCGAGGTCGACTTGCACCGCACTGCCACTAGCGTCCGTGCTCTGCCTGCTTGCTCTTAGATGGGGGCTTGCGGGATTGCATAGGTCTTGGTGGCCTGTTTATGTGTTGAGGTTGGCTAGTGTATAGTGTAGACTGTATAGGACGCTGCGTCGACGACTGCATTCATGTTGAATATGACATATCGAATATGCATGTAGTTGGGGAGATCGTTAGGAAGATGGATGAAACTTGGGTAGTCATCAGCAGGAGAGAAAAAGAGTAAGAGTATACTAACGGTCTGACCAACGTCTTCACATGATCACACCATGGCGGCAGTGACAACTTCTCCTGTGCTTATACTGTTGACAGCTACTTGAGCTGGTATCTGCGGCTCTCCCTTGGGTTGTCGTCAGACTTCAACTTCCTCCATTGCCCACAAATCTCAGGCCATGTTCTGATGACAGGGGCTTTTTTGCGCACGTATAGTGAAAACGTCGTTCTTACTCTGCCACGGGGCTGTTGAAGTTCTCCGATATTCATTCCAAGGAAGCTGCCTCCCTTCCTTTTCTCCATGTAATAACAATGGGAAAGAACGGTTAAATTGCCCTGCCTGAGCCCAGGTATTATCCCACTATGTGATCTCACAACCACCTCCCCATTTCTTTTCTTCCTCTTTCACAGTTCATCGTCATAGACCGCGAGGTAAGTATAACTCCACGATACCTATGTTTCCAACAGAGGCAACCCGGTTTTCCTGTTTCGTTCAGTCGAACTAACTATATAGAGCCGTCTGGTAAATCTGTGCTCAGCGCTGAGTTCTGACCAAGTGCAGCCCATATCGCGTAAGTGAGCCAGATATCTCCCAGGGTGGTGGCATATCCATTGTATCGGAGATGCCGACTAACAGTTTGTACACCTTAGGGACACCCTCAAGTACAATGGCTCGCAGCCCGAACATCTCGCGCTACAGCTCCCCCAATGACTCGTCTCCTCTTCTTATTCGAGACAAGAAGCGCGCTGCCCGCAGCAATGATGATAGTGTCATCGCCAAGCGTTCGCGCTCTGATAGACCGAGTGCAGATGCCGAGGCGGTGGCCAGCCCGTCGTCGCAACCCTCCTCTCCCCGCCGACAGCAGGTGGTTGACGAGTGCATCGGTGGCGACCTCCGAGACCCTTGCGGCCGTTGCACCCTCCATTTGGCCAAGATGGATTTCGAGAACACCTCGAGAGTAATCAAGTTTCGTTCGTGCCGCGATAGCACTAGTACGTAGTGTTACTGGTGTACCCGCTCTGTCGTATATCCATGACTAACGGTCTTCTAGAGCTGTCGCATAAATGTGAACACTGCCAGTCTAACGGCAAGCCGTGTGTCGTCGTATAGTCATATCCCTCCTCCGCCCGTAAGCTGCTCCGCCGGACAGTGCTCCACTAACCGCCAGCTCACAGTCATCATCGGTGGATGTCGCCAAAGTGGCCAAAATGCTGCAGAAGATCCTTGTTCGGGCTTCCGAGAGGAATGAGCGACAAGCTGCGGGTACGTAAGGCAGTCACCAGTCTCCCCAGTACAGCACTGCTAACCCTTCCGTAGTCACTCGCTGTCGAGACTCGGACCAAGCTGAGGGTTAGCTTCGCCGCCCACCGTCAGGAGGCCACGACGTCTGCCGCTCAAGTGAAGACCCCGGCATGTCGGTCAGCTGAAGTTGCGGAGGCCCAAGTTCAGGCCCTGGAGGCCATCGCGACCGAGATGGCGTCGATCCACAAGACGCTGAGGACCATTAGCCACCAGCTGCGCGAGTAGACCCGGAGGCCGGAGAGGCCCCCTCCGTGGCCCGTGCGGACAGCGATACAGTTACTGCTGAGGAGGAAAACAAGGATGGAAGGAAACAGGACAGGAGAGTGTGGCGCCGCGGCCTCGGAACAAAAGTCTCAATATTTTGTGAAACAGCTCCTGTCCCGTTAGAGTCTCTAACTCAGATCATGTTCCCCGAGGTTCACTGCCGACTCGTAGTCTACTTGCCAGCCCAAGCCTTTGTGATCAGCTCCTCGATAGTCATGGGGCGGATATCGGGGAGCCTCTCGTTGAGACGGTTCTCCTTCGGCACGATCATACGCCCTGAGATGGTTGCTAGACCAAAGAGAACATTCATCTGCCTCATCTGTTCAACCGAAATTCCTCCGTGGGCTTCGTGAACCAGCATTGTGGGCTCGTTCCTCTCTAGCTTCTCTTGACTATCATAGACCACATCAAACTTGGTGCCTGACCAAAGAGGCGTTGAACGCGTGCCGTGTTAGCCATGAATTTCAGCGAAAGGATAAAGTTTGGATGCAGACGGTAAGAAGACAGCCGACGCATACCTCGTACTTTCTCAGCAATGGCAATGAGCTCATTGAGAGTTGTATCCGAGCCGCTGATGATGCTGAGTTCGGGCCACTCATCTACCTCGAGAAGCCGGGCAATAAACCCGGCCATGTCGACCGAGTACGTCAGAGTCAGGGGCTCGTTTCCGGTCCCCGGCATCGCGGCTCGCTTGTTGGCTACGTCGACGGCCCAGACGCCGGGGGCCATGTCGGAGGGAATATGCGGCATGCCCCAGTAATCCATGAGGAACCCGACTACGACGCGAGTATACTGGAGACCAGTTTTCTTGAGGGCGGCGGCGGCGGGTCTTGCGAAAGCCGAGACATCCCACTCGTTTGTGCTACTGGTGATTAGCGTCGATGATGGGTTATATGTAGGTGAATGAAACCCCTATCCCAACCCCACAGTTGGACCGGGGCCCCGGGGGGGACGAGACGTGATGACTTACCCGTCGTCCGGAGCAGCAGCATACTCGCTCGGGATGAACCTCCGTGTCTTCGTCGACTGATCGCTGGCGGCGATGAGGTTGAGCTGGGCCTGGCTGCCTTCCGGAGCGAAGACATCGAGCGCGGAGATTACGGTCTCGACGTTGCGTCCCTCGAGGATATTGACGAGCCCTTGGACATCGGAATAACCAACGACCAAGAACTCTGCACCAGGAAGAAGCGGGACAACAGGAGGCTAGGGAGACACCAGCAATTCAGCATCGCCTTGATATACCCAAGCAAAACCTAAGAATTCTGTGGGATACTCTCATACTCACTTTCCTTCCAAGTACGATGACCTGATGAGTCCCGTCGGCGAGGAGCTGTCGAACGATGGTCTTTCCGACACTTCCAGTGCCTCCGGCGACCGCAATGGTAGCCATGGTCGAAAGGAGATGCGTGTCGATATTGTCCCTTTGCAACACTCGAGCGTGGTGTTGACGTGAAACTCCGTTGAGCCATCTCGTGATTCTCGTCTCATTCCCCTCTTCAGACTTCCCTTCCCCCTATTACTAATTAACATTTTCCCGAAGAAGGTCAAGTTTTAAGTTTGGAGCCGGTACGATGAGAGGTACCGGGCATGGAGGAGCGAGGTATCAGTACTTTCTTTACCCTGTGCTGGACATCAGACACACGAGTGGGGTACGTACCTTGTGTGTTTATGGGGCGCTAACTGCTCCGTGGAGAATGAGGAGGTACAACCAAGTTACAACCTGGGAGTCCTGGGAGTCGGTCGTTCTCAGCGTCATGACTGGCATCATAAGGTAGGTAGATCTACCTTGGCTTCAAGCTTCAGAATGTGCAGGTGTCTGTTCGGTCTATGTGTGAAAGACGAAGGGACCGTTGGGGGGCCTCTAGGTACCTTAGGTGTATGATTGTATCCTACTCGGCTACTCCATGGACCTACTAAGTAGGTACTTAGGTACCTAGGTAGAGGCCAAGCCAAAACGAACGTACTTGTACCTATCCGTGCTTCGGATACTTTACCTAAGGTAGATAGGTAGTTACGTTGTAGAATGAATTCGCCATTTGGAAACCTGCCTTGATGGTGGCCGTAACCCGGAGCTCACGGAGTCACGGTGACCGGAGTTGCCCCACACCGTTCACCGAAGTGCCCGCCGAGTGTCCGGAGTGAATGAACTCCCCGGAGTGAGCAATGAGCATCGGTATGGTCGGACGATTTCAACGCCCGACGTTGATATATTTTGCCCAGAAAAGCTATTATGGATATTTCTTAGTATAACTTGCACGTGGTCAAAGCGAGCTGAATCGGGACCACGCAACAGTCAACACTGCCTTGGCGTAAGCGGGGAGCCCTGCTGTCCAGGGTGACATCCGGCACCACCCCCACAACCAGGCCTGCGCCGTCGACAGAAGGTCCGTGCGGGGAAGACCCTGCTCTTGGCGGTACAGATTAAGCACGACTCCACGGGTTGAGAGAAGGGGATGGATGGGTGGGTGACGAAGAAAGAAGTACAGCTTGAGAAACACGCTGACGTCGGACAGAGGGTTGCAATTGGTGGTTTCGCAAAGGCGCGAACGGTATCGTAGGCGATCATTTCACGCATCGTTGTCGGGTATTTAGGGAAATACGGCTGTCATCCTATTTGCTATTTTTCGGTTTTCGGAAAAAGACCCGAAAACTCCCATCTTCTGCTGAATGGAAGGAAGCCTGAAGTGAAGGGTGAAACGACAAGGTGATTTCTTGATTCTTGAAGATCTTCCTGCAGGCGCACGACATCCATTATGAAACCACATGCATTCTTCGACCGGCTCGCCGCGGCTATTTTGCTAGTACAGTATGATTCCCTCGGTTGCCTTCCAGAATCAAATCATATATCTATACGGGGCATCTTTTTGTTCGCATGCTAATTCATTTGCACCAGAACGGCCCAGGTCACCGCGCAGGACGTGGCTGCAGCGCCCAGCCCGACACCCACATCGCGCGACTCCTTCGCCGATTGCCCGACGGTAACGGAAACGCGCGACATCTGCTCGACGTGCATGGTACCCATGTGCCTCTTCCTGTCGACGGTGACGCAGTGGTGCGGATGCCCCGAGCCGGTGCCGACCGAGTACCTCGATTTTCCCTGCGGGGGCGAGAACGCGTGCGGCGACTCCGGCCTTGGGTGCTCGACGACGTACGATGTGGTGCAGGAGGAAGGAGCGGCGACGTGTGAACCGGGACAGCCGCAAAACCCCCCTCCTTCGTCGTCGTCGTCGTCGTCGTCGTCGTTATCCTCCCTCTCCTCTCCCTCATCCTCCTCTGGGACGAACGCTGAGGACGACGATGAGAACGACGCGACGAGTATGACGGCAGAGATAACGACGACGCCCGTGCCAACGACGGGGGTTTCTGGGGACGAGACTGAGTCGGTTTCTCAGTCGCCGCCCGCTACGGTCACGGAGAACTCGGCGAGACGGCGGGTGCGGCCGTTTTGGAGGTGGTAGAGGGGATTCGTTGGTGAGGTGAGAGGACGTCGCTAATAATCTTAGTTGAACTTCAGTGGCTGTGGTTATTACGTCTCTGTTTTCAGATCGATCTCTGTTATATTCTATCACGTGAGCCACGGTATGGTGCTCTCCTATTAGTTAGAGGTGCCCCACTATCCTCGCTTGGAAGGTGGTAGATGTATTTAGGACACGTATACCCGCCCCCTTTTTCTTTCTCTTTTATAGATAATACAATTATATATTTCCTGAATCAACGCTCCCTATAAGCACGCTCCCGTTAATTCAATAGTTATAAGCCCGGGTAGTAGTAGTAACCAGTAACTTCCTGCTAATCTATTATCTACGTTTATTTTTATATACTTCTATAGTATTACGGAGCCCTCCTATACTCTCTCTCCTAATAATAAGCTCTTATTCGCTAAACCCTTACTCGATACTATATCGAATAAGCTCGAGATCACGGCTAAAGCGCTCGGTATCCCGCGCCTTAAATCCACGCGGTAATAGGCCAATTAGATCTTCTATATCCAGTCGTATACGTAAGGGATAGAGGTCTAGGCACTACTTGATCCTAGCTAAAAGGATTAGCTAGATAACTGTCCTAAGTATATTATACCTAAATCCCTGGATTAACTACGCGAATAGTATTCCTAAGGTAAGGGCGACGATACTATCGTGCCCTCGACGTAGGAGCTTATACGCCTCGCCGAAATCGAGAATTAGTAGACTATAGCCTAGAATTAAAAGCTCGGTCGCCTTATTAAGGCGCTCGATAAGGCTAATTAACTGCTTAAAACCACCGTGGAGACCTTTACTTATTAATAGGCTATCGAAGAAGCTATTAAGAGATATCCCGGCTATAATAGGGAAAAATAAAATAGACACTTTACGTTATGCCACTTAATAAAAGAACTTAAGAGTAGCTTCGCTCTAAGTAGTATTCACACGAAGGAAGAGATAAGACGAGTATATAAAAAGTATCTATAAGACGCTCGTCGAGCTAACACTAAAGTGGCTATATAGTATACGGAGTGGAATACCCTTATTAGACGCGTATATTAGTAAAAGATAGCCGAGATTAAAGGACCTACTACTATTCAGAACTTCTTTATAGTAGTTAGATAGAAGTTTACGTCTATTTAGGCAGAAACTAAGCTTTAGGAGCTAGTAATAAAAGAGGTCCGCGGAGATAAGATTTCCGATCTTCTAATATACGGCCGCGAGTTTAACGCTATTATAAGCGCTCTAACTATAGACGGCACGCGCTATAGCGTTTACGTGACCCTAGGAGACCGCTTAGATAATAACGAAGGCGGAAAGAAGCCTAAGAAAAAGAGCACTAATTACCCCTATCGACGCGAGTATACTTAGAAGCCAGAGCACTATAATAAGCTGGAGTACGCTTTAACCGGAAAATACGAGCAGAGGTCTAATACCTACCTTAATAATAAGTGGTGTGAGGAGATACGGAAAGAGATTAAGCTCCTAAAGTGGAAGAGCTTACGCGAAAAACTGTCGAAAAAGGGATAGGAAAGCTCGGAGAGCGGTAGTGGTAAGGGAGATAGGTATCCTAGGAAGGTTATTATAATTATCCTGGATCCCGCCCTTATCTATACTATAGAAGAGGTCCCTAGAATCTACGCCGCGCTCCGACTAGGCCTTTACCCGCTCTTATAAAGCACTCTTCTTAATAATTACGGTATAACTTACCTTATTAACTTAATCGACCTACTTATTCTAAGTTCCTTCGTTCCTATAAAAGGATCCATCGAATCCGGTATAACCGACTTTCCGATTATTAGCAAAGGTAAACGGCTTCTTAAAGGAATCCTTAATAGACCTCTAAGTACTCCGAAAGCTAACTTAGAGCTTAACGATATAGTCGTCGTAGAGAGATTTCACACGAATATTATATCGGAAGCTCTATTATATAAGGTTAGGATCTAGTATTCGGGATATAACTACTCGTTACGCTTTAGAACGGCGGAGAAGAGCGTAGTCTTATTAAAGCTGCTTTGACGCTTTAATATAACTATCCTTTAGTATAAGCTAATTTTATCTTCTTCTTCTTATTCGTGATTCTAACCGATACTATATAGTATTATTCCGATTAATTACGACTATTAATATATACTAGTTATAGTAGTTAATCGACTAATAAGAGCTTAGCGATATTACCGACCTACCCGTAACCCTCCGCGTCCACGAGTTAACGAAGAATAGTTATAGCACTTAAGAGTAGGCTATCTTAGACTAAGCGCTTTACGAGTATTAGTTCGTAACGCTAGGAACGTGTTATTTAAGGGAACTAAGCGGATAGACTATAAGATATACTCCCGAACCTAGGCACGTTAAGTTATATCTCGATACACGTTAGAACACCGCTCCCTATAACCGTTTTAGCGTATTTATTAGAATCTTTAAGAGCTACCTAAAAGCTATAACGGTATACGATATCTTCTTATAATAAAGGACGAATATAGCGGCTAAATCTATATACTACCTTTAGCTTCGAAAAACAGCGTTACGCTCTATAACGCGCTTTAAGCGTTCGAACGATAGGTTAACCGGTAATTCACTTTATATATTTATAAGATACGCAGTAATAATAAGCCCTCGATCGTTAACCTAGCAGGGGATTAAATAACCCAGCTATAGGCGAGCAGTTAAGGGATTAAGATAGAAATAGCACCGCTATATACCTATAAACCGAACGGAGGCAGCGAGAAAGCCGGTTAACTGATTATTATAAAGTCTAACGCTATACTGAATAGAGCAGGAATTCCACTAGATAAATAGCCAGAGAGTACTAAATCGGCAGCGTTATTATATAATATAAGTCCCTTATAAAGACACGGATAGAAATCCCCAGTAGAAATCCTCGACTTATAGTTTAGAAAGAATACGCTGATTCTAATAAGAGAGTATATAGCCGACCTACGCCCTAATTAGAGTAGTATTTATACCTATAGCTGCCGCGCCTATCTAATAGCGAGGGATAGGGAGACTAAGAGGAATAGGAAACTATATAAGGTTTAACTAAAGGGATATATTAGGTATCTTATAGGTTATATTACCTATAATATTTACCGAGTATAGATTCTATAGCTTTAGAAGGTTATTATAACGCGTAATATATAATTTAACGAGTAGTTATTTTATAAACTATAGCTCGAAGAAGTAGAATAGATCCTAGAGCCTAAGGTAAGGAACTAGCTTATAACTTACGAAATATAAGAAAATAAAGATAATGACTTTATCCTATAGGCTTACCCTCCGGGTAGATTAATTGATAGTATACCTTTTAGAGAATAAGTATAGTCCACGGGTTCGAACTCGGGGGTAAGAGTAGTAGAGGCTAAATTAAACGTTTTATCGCCACTACTAAATTCACCTAATATACCCGAACCGCCCGTAATAGGACTTTAAACCCCACGCGTAATACTTAATTCTTAGAGTAGGAATCTTTAGGTTATAAGCGTAGAGCCGTAGTCTTCGGAGGAACTCTTAATTAATAATTCTTCCGACTAATAAGATAATAGAGCGGCCACCTAAGAAAATACTATAACCGACACGCTAGGATTATATATACTAGAGCTTAATATAGACACTTCGACGATTTTAACTATAGAAAGGAGTACGTAGGCGATAGTATAGGGACTAACTACCCCTAATCCGTACTATAGCACTAGCCGTACTATAGCGTCCAGATCCAGACCACCTATCCGACTAACCCCTAAGGTGACCGCCTACTAAAGGAAAAAGAGTATACTAATAAAGGAAGTAACGCGTGCTAGCGTAAAAATCACCGATCGCCGTGCTTAAGGAAAGACTATTTGGGTTAATCCACGGATATATTAGGTAGAGCTAGATATACCTTTAACTTATACCTTTTTCTTATCTAATTAATAAAAAGAGCGCTAGGACGGGCTAGAAGGGCTTCTAACCTTTAATTTAATAATCCTCGGAGTAGCCGATACTAAAATAAATACTCGTTTAAATACAAAAAGAGAGGCTATAACATCACCGAAGCCCTTAATCGACGGTAGGGTTTATCACGACTATCTAAAGGCTATACTAAGGTACTAATAGGAGCTTATTAACTACCCGATACGTGAACGGTTTAAGGAAACCGCGTAGAAGGAGGTAAATAAGCTAATTAAGAAACGTATATAAAGAGAAATTAAGCGCTTAGAGACGAAGTTAAAGCCTTTTCCGTTGAAGTAGGTTTTTACCTATAAGTTTAACTAAGACGGATATCTTAAACGATATAAGGCACGCTTATATATTCGAGGGGACTTATAGCAGAGCTTAATAATTAAAAGAACCTATATAGTAACGCTCGCTACACGATCTTTTCGTATTATTATAGCCCTAGCTACTTAGTTTAATCTAGAAATTAAGTAACTTAATATCGTTAACGCCTTCGTTAACGCCTAAAGGAGTAAAACAGGAACGCCCGTTATATACGAACTTCCCGATAGATTTAAGTAGCCAGATAAGTGCGTAGAGCTCGATAAAGCACTATATAGACTACGCGACTCGCCTAGACTATAGTTCCAGACCTTCACGGCCACCCTAATAGACTTAGGGATAAAGGCTAGTAAAGAAGAACCGTGCCTATTCTATACTAAGGCTTAAAACGTATTCGTTATCTTCTTTATAGACGATATTCTTATATTATTTTATAGAGATAGT